TCTGGTGTCAGAGTATAGTCTGCAAGTTGTTACAATGTGTTTCAGTGTGTGATTTGTCCCATATTTTACAAAATGGTGGTTCCAGGCCTCTCATTAGTGGTCGTTAAAGTGATCATTGTGGTTCCATTTGTTTTTCTTCTTGCGAGGTTCGCAGCTCTGTCTGCAGCTTTGTTTCCAGATATGCCACAATGTGAGGGTGCCCATGCGAGGAGGATGTCTCTGTCCGGCGACTCCTTCATTTCCCAGAGGCAGTTTGATTTTTATGGAAATGGCATTGTCGGCTTTCCCTTCGGCAATGGCCATTAATGCGCTTAAAGAGTCTGTAACTATAAGGCCATTTTTTATGGGGGTTTTTCTGTTACTAATAACAAGGCCTGATATGTGGCGAATAGGTCGCCTGTGAAGAAGCTGTTTATTTGGGGCAAATTGAATTTGAGACAATGGTCTTTCAGTATTACTGCACATCCTACGCCACTGTCTGTTTTTGACGCATCTATATAAAGTGTGTCTGAGGTATTTGTGTTTCATTTCTGTAAATAAGTTTTTTTTGACGAATTGGTCGTCGTCAGTTTGTATTTTCCTAGAAAGAGACGTATCTGTTTTTATGAAAGAGTTATACCATTGGGAGAATAAATTGTCGTATATTGTCATTATATTGTTCATTCTGAAGTCTAATCGTAAAAGTAGTTTGTGGGTTCTCTCCGTAATGCCAGTTGAGTAGTACACTTGGTTGGTGTTGATGCTGGTAAGCAAACTATATATATTTAAATTAACTATATATTTAAATTTAATATTGCACGAAATGGTACGTTTTTCCGTTTTTGGCTTAAATTGCATGATTTTTGATGCATTAAATTGCACTTTTGTGCTAAATTAGACGATTTATAAATACAGGTGTATAAGTGTGTTAATATTTATTTTACTTTTTATTGTATTTTATTGTTCAAATTAAATTCATTATTCAAAATAGAAAAATATGAAGAAGGCCAATAATTCTTAGTGAAATGAAAATCGTATTCATTACAAAAGAAAGAAGTAAACAGAAGTGAGATCTATTCTTGGAATAGAACTTACCTAAAGTATTGGTTAGTAAAAAGCTGCTTTCCTAGAATTAGCTACTTCGTTAGTTAGAAGCTTATAGTAATTGTTTTGGCTTAAATCCTCACTCACCGTTTAAACATTTAGTCTCCCTTTTTGCTTTGAATTGAATTGTAGAAATTTCATTCTAACCAAAAAAATAAAATTGATAATGCTGAATGTAAAATCTAGACTCTCGTCAAAAATTAAAATCTGAAAATAAAAATACCCCGATTTGAAATGAGTGGACAAAGAATTTGATGACGAAGTCTATACATCTTATGAAAAATCAATCAGGTGATATGAAATAACATATAGACGCTAATTGTGGAACAGTTAAGAAAAATATAATCCTATAAACAATAGCGATGATTTTCACTTGTTTTATGTGTTAATTACACAATTTTACGTATCTTGGATTTTTACTGTACGAAAATCCGCTCTCTAGTTATAACAATGAGCTCATTATCGTTGTTTACGATACAATGGCAAGTCAATTTCAACCTTTTCCAAATCAAATTCAACCTTTTCCGAGTCAAATTAAATTTTTTCCATTTGAAATTCAACTTTCGAATTTTCCTCAATTTTCGTTTTTTTTTTCGAAATGAAGGCCACTTACTATATTATCGAAGGCATAGCTTTTGAAAAATACAAAAATAATTATGATAACGCGGTTGCATATCCATTTATTTTATCATTTTAGATTTTTTCAGTGTAATATTTCTATGTCCTATTCAATTTTTTCCAAGTCAAATTCAACCTTTTCCAAGTCAAATTCAACCATTTGCATTTCAAATTAAACCTTTTTCAATTAAAATTCATCCATTTTCATTTCAAATTAATTTTTTAATTTTTTGTAAATTTTATATTTTTGTTAAATAATGGCCATCTGATTCCCTCCCCTCCAATATGAAGTTCTGTTATTATGCTCTCCTAAGTAGACTTTCTACTTACGGATATCGATTGTTAGGGACTAGTATTATGCTGTCCTGTACCTTCTTCTTCTTCTTAATCATTTCCTCTTCTACCGCTGAGCGGTGTGAGGAGCATTCTTGTAGAGCCGAATCCACAACTTTCGATCCTGAGCCAACTGTCGCCTCCTCCTCCAGTTAATATCCCTTCTGTCAAAGGCCTCCTTGGCACTAGCCTCCCAGATCTTCCTGGGCCTTCTCTGAGGTCTTCTTCCCTCAACTTTGCTTTCCAACGCTATCCTGGCCATTCGATTCTCTGGCAATCGAGAGACATGACCAAACCATCTCAAACGATTTTCCTCCATCACCGTTTCGGCTGCTATTACGTTTAAATTTTTCCGTATTATGGAGTTTCTTATGCGATCTCTCTTTGTTTATCCTTCGACCCTGCGCAGGAATCGCATCTCGATGGCATGAATCTGACTGGTGTGCTTTGTGGTGAGGGTCCATGACTCGCTGGAGTAGGTCATTATTAGGAGGAAAGTATTTTTGTAGTCGGTCGTTTCGGTCTCTTTACTCACTTCTCTCTTGTTCAAGAATCCCTGGAGTTTGAGGAACGACTATGTGTATCATCCCAAAAGATGACTAATCCCGAGTTGAAGTGGCTATATTCAGTTTCTCGATTGCAATATTTTCTAGGTGTATTCCTTTTCCGAATCTTTACAACCAGAAAACCTTCATACCTTCTTGACTCGTTCACTCCTTGTTCCTCTGTCCATTCTTTCAACACGAGATTTTAGCCCACAAACATATATATTTCTTCTCATAAGACAGTAGTGTATTTTGAAAGAATCTTTAAAATGCATGGTATCTTGCTTTGGAACTCCTTTGGAAATTCCTTACCCATCACCAAACGCAAAACCTCATCATTGACTTCATTTAAAAACCAACTGTCTCTCCATCTCCTCAGCCATCAGTCTTTCGAATATTTATAAGAATTAAATATGTTACCAATACGATTCTAATGTTAATTCAAAAATATTATTTATATTGCTTTCCGTGCAAATAAGTAAACAAACAAATATCAATTCACCTATAATTTCATCGTATTATATGTATATTTAGAATCCTATATATTATTTCTAAAAGGTACTTTTTTGTCGGTAATAGCGTTGAAGCACCTTCCTGCAGACTTCACTCTTTCCTTTATTTCTTCGTCGATCCATCCATGTTCATTGATGTGGGCACCGAGGTATTTGAAAGTTTTTGTGCACTATTCTGTCTCCTCTTCCTTGTTTTCTATCAATCCTCATTGTTTTGGTTTTTTCCACATTTATTTGCATATTTATTTTACTTAATTCTTCCTGGGGAATGCGGAGGTTGAATTGCAGGTTTCGCCCATTGCTTCCGAAAACCACCAAATCGTCTGCGTAAGCGAGCAGAGAGAAAAATACCGGCTATAGATTTCTGCATCCCATTTGATATGATCTCATATTTTGTTTTGCTATTTTTATTGCATTATCTAGCGCTAGTGTAAATAGCAGAAGACTTAGACTGCACCCTTGTCTAATACTTTGATTAGTTGTGAACTCTTCCGATATGTTATTGCTTGTTCTCATAACATTTCTTTGGGTCTTATAGAGACTTAGAGTTGCCTTACGGAGGTCTGTTTCGATGCCTTTGTCTTCCAAGGCATTTGCTATGTCTTGCTTCTTCACTAGGTCAAATGCCTTAGTGAGGTCTACAAAACAGGCATAATATCTCTATGTTCCTTTCTATTAATTTTTCAGAAATTTGTCATAAGGTAAATATGAGATCCCCCCTGAGATAGCCCTAGTACCAATGCACTTCTGTGTAGCAGACTGTATTAATACTCAATAAAACAATAACAAATAAATATATGACGAAATTGAACATTAAAACAATCCTTAAAGATAAAATATAGGATGTATAAGTTCTTAATTTTTTTTGTTTGTTACCGCTACAACCCATGAAGGGTCTTGGGTGCAGTACTATGTGAGGAACTACTGTTTCAAGGCCAACGGTTGTGCAGATAGATGATGGTGCCGATATCACGATCAACCGCCAGGTTTTCCCTCCTAATTATTTTTTGTAAGTAAGGGCCCCCACCTTATAGAGGCTTTATGTGCCCCAGGAGGATCTCCCTACCCCATAGTCGATCCACGGCTAATGAAAAATTACTAGTCATTAGCCGGATTCGAACCATATATATCCGGATATATATATATATATATATAATGTTTTTATAATTTTTTATTTAATAAGAGGAATTGCTCAAAAACTGTTCTATATAATAAAATTCATTAGTTTTTACAAAGCAGCAAATATTTGTAAAAACTAATTGCATTTTATTATATCGAACAGTTTTTGTATCGAGTTTGGGCACTACAGTATACATACAGAGTATGTATGTACAGCAGTTCAACGACCGTAATGGAATATATTATTAATTTTCATCACTGTTTGATCTATAAAATTTGTGTTTACTTAGATTTTTATTATCTTGAACAATTTTTGAGCAATTACTTTTTATTCAATAATGGTCACGACCACACTTCTTAACTCCTTTCCCATCCGAAATCTCCCAATGCATTAAATGAATTATTTTTTTGGAAATTTGGTCTAAGTCCACGGTGTTTGGACCTTGAACTCATGACTAAATTGTTTCTAAAAATTACTTAAATTATTAACGAAAACATATTAAGCGTTCTTGATACGAAGGGAAACTTTTTTATTTAATTTTTTGAGGGTGACAGTCTATCGTTAGTACCATAACTATTTCTTTCTTTTTTCATGTAGACTCTTTAACACTTATTTTATAAGAAAATATGTTCGGAAAAAAAAATATTTGGCAAAAAAATGTACAATGCTTCCCTATAAAAGACAATAAAAAGTCCCATCAAATTCCCAGTTCGCTCGCACATTCTTATAAGTAACGCCTGATATACACCATTTTATTAAAATATTCGTATATAATATAATAAAACTTACTGAATCCTGGATAGCAGTCATCGATGAGAATATATTTTATCTTCGGATGCGGTTCTGGTGGAGATATTGGTGTGACGTAGGTAATGTTATGCCCGGCGTCTGCAAGTGCCTCTAATATCGGCCGATATACAATATGATGAGTCTTTCCGTTGAATGGTAGAAACGCCAATATGTTGTAAGAAGATACAATTCTTAAGAAAGTAAATAATAACGAAACTATAAGACTTGAAGTGAGATGCATTCCGACTGAGCTCATTTATTGCTGACACTGTAGTTCCCAGAAGAAGAGAGACCTTGAATGCAAGAAAAGGGTACGCCTATTGCATCACGGTCTTTTTTTATGAGATAACGAATCTCATTTGCGATTCGCGAAAAAATAATTCTGGTTCCTCTAAAAACCAGATATGATGACAATACATGTGATATGTGGATGTCATTGGATAATCAAATTTGATGTGATAATAATAAATGTTTTATTTCAACAAGATTTTTTTTTTCCTGTTGAATTTAAAAACAAAAACGACAAATTTGTTATAAAATTCTTTTTATACATTTGATTCTTATCTTAAATATATAATATAATAAAATCAAATATATAAAGATATACAATAAAAGGGAGGATCAGAAGGTAATAACACATTTTATTGTAGAATATTAATTTTTTTTTACTTAAGGACGAAGGGTCAATTTAATATTTTATATGTAATATTTACGGATAAATAACATTAAACTACATTAAAAAAAAAATCGAAAACATTATTAGTTATAGGTATATGAAATCTTATTATCGATTGTATAATAAATATACGTTCCCTGTGGTTCTTATCTATGTGCCTATCATACCTATAAACAAATATTTAAATTATTATTTTAAAATAAAAAAAAATTGCGTTTTTTTTTAAATATAGTGTATTTTAATTACAAAGTATTTAAATTTTTTTCAGAGGAAGTATTTGAAATAAAACCTATCAGAAGTATTTAATTACCATAAAAATCGAAAAAAAGTATTCTCTCAGTACTGAATATTATAATATCTAAAGCCGAGTATACATATTGACATTTATTGTCATTAATTGATAGTGCGTGGTACATACCCCTTTTTGTCAAATTATTAACATCCGTCTGAAACTTCAACAATAACTTCATCTCATCGTATCCAACAACTATTTTATTTACAAAAATTCTCGGAAATGGTACGTTTTCAACCTAGAGATCGGCAAACATTGCCTTTTTAATTAGCTACTAAAATCGTAACCTTTTACTTTCGAATTGAATCGTAAAATAATTTGACCACAAAATCGAGAAAAAAGGTTCGACCTACACCCTCAAAATGTGAAAATAATGGAGGTTTTATTGGCCAAACGACCCATTATTTTGTAGGTTTTTTTTCTGGAATTTGTGATTAAATTATCTTACGATCCAAGTAGAGAGCAAATGGGTATTTACGAGTTTTTAGTACCTAAGTAAATAGACAAAGTTAACAGATCTCCAGGTTGAAAACGCCTCAATTCCAAGAGTTTTCGTTAATAAAATATTTGTAGGTTACGATGAGATGAAACTACTCATGAAGTTTCAGACGGAAGTTAATAATTTGATAAAAAGGGATCAGTATCACGGAGTATGATTGTTCATAAATTAATAATATAAATCATATTAATATAAAATAGTTACATCAATATTAAATTAATAACTTAATATAGCCATACATTAATTTAATATATTTTTATTTGTTAAGCTTATAAAAAATAATTTAAAAAATTGGTCGACTTGTTCCTCCAGCGAACACGTGAAAACTTAGGAGCACTTCGGTGGTGGCTGTGTTCGCCAATCCCGTTCTCATCTACAGTATTGCAGGAGCGCGGAGCGTCGTAGGTTCGCGAATACAGTGGATACCAGGCTTAACAGGTAAACTCAACAATGTAGAAGTTATTATGGGAACAATAAAATACGGCGGGTCAAAAATGAAGTTATACACTATATCTTTATTTTCACTAATAAATGAAAAATATTTGGCAGATAATTATTTTTTAAACAATCATTTACCTTTATAAGTCTAAGTCCTCTACGAAGATCCATTGCAGAGAGTTATTTTTAAAAAGTTTCATTCTTACATTGAATTCTCCCTTGAGCAACCTGTTACACGATGAAAAAGTCAGTGATTTACTGAGGGTCTATAGGGCCTCTGTTGTCCACTTGGATGTGGGTTATCTCCAACCCCAGTCCTCACGGACTGACTTTTCATACTCTAGTGATTTAACTTCCATACTGCTTTTGTATCTGGTTATACACTGTTACTTCAAACATAATTAAACAATCACTGAATAGCTCCCTGTAGATATACATATTTTATTTTTACATTGATCAAGATTAGATTCAGCTTTTTGCTTCTTCGCTACCGAAGATGGAGAAGTATTGTATTTGTGAGAGAGGTTAAAAAAATATTGTGCACAAGATCGAAAATTTCCACTCGCATTTTAGGTCTCAGACATCAAGGATCAAATCTGGTTTAGTGTCTGTCTGTAGTCAAATCAATGTAACGAGCATATCACCTACTACCATTAATGTTGGTGTCTAGATGCTCCTATATCAATTTCATAAAATTCTAACCGGCCCTTCGGCTTACGCAGGTGCAAATATGTAAAATTGTAAATATACCAATATTTCAGAAAAAGTTCGCTCGATTTGGCTCAAAGTTGGATAAAAGGTAGGTATTTGTGAAAAAATAACATAGAGTAAATTTGATTGCATTCTGTCCATCGATTTCTCTTATATATGCGCAAACGTGTTTTCCTTGATATGTCTATACCTCTAAAACCACAAGTTCGATCTGGTTTAAATTTGGAGAGAATTTAGAGATTGGTAAACGTAAAATGAAATAGGCATCAATTTTATCAAATTCTGTCTTATAAAAAAAAAAAAACTTCCACTTTCAGATCAGGAAATGTGTTATTCGGTATGCCTATAGTTCGAAAACGGCGCATTCGCTTTACCCAAACTTGGAGGAAATTTGGAGAACGGTATAGAAATTACTTAGTATTTTATTGAATTCCATTAAATAATTAAAATTAATATGAATAATGATTTGTTAACAATATCATGACTGTGAAATGTGGAAGCCACTGATCATATGGAGTGGGAATTAGGTTATTACAATATTGTTATGGTGTTATAAAATTTTAGGTTTTATTCAAAAAGTTAATTTATACTGTATTGTTTGGTCGATTATAAACTTTACTGGCATGACACTTATTGTTCTAACATAGATTTCGTGTAATTTTCAGTAAACTTAAAGTAATTTTTACTCTGAATTTGTAAATAAAAAAAAAGTCTTATTTATAATAGTGTTTATTTCCATTGAAGTTCAAACAGCTCGTCGTGGTCTCCATTTTCTCCTTAAATATCAAAATACTTCACTCATATTTTTATATTCCAGCTTAATTAATTTTGTTCTGAATGAAGAAATGTATTGGTCTTGTTAATTGCGAACAAACAAAACGTTGAATTTTTCCTATGGATTTATTGTTCTAACCGTTTTACAAATGAAAACATACCTATTGAGTAATATGTCACTACTCTTAGTGCAATGGTCGTAAGTAAAATTTTTTTATTCATTATGTTGTCTGCGATTGATATAAGTAGTCTACTAATATGAAAAATAACAGAGGACAATAAAATTATACTAATAAATCATAAAGAAGTAATTAGTTTTTATACTCATGCTCCCTTGTAAAACACTCAATTTTTACTTACATCATTTACATATTCACTGAAATTTTTTTAAAAATTTTCTTTTATATCCTAAAGCTCGTATATGTAGCGGGATTACTTTATTTTCGAAAACGGATTCTTTTCTTTTAAATATTTTATTCTCATTAAAAAATTGTTAGACCTTCTAATATAGATATTTTTTATCTAATGAAAACGGCGAGGAAGCTGTAATGACCTTACCTGGAAGACGTTTATTTGTTATTTTGATTAATATTGTGACTGTGAAAAATAACAACATTTACAAAGGAAAGAGGGGTTCTTAAACGATTTTATTGGGTTTCTTAAACAATTTTCTAGGGTTTCTTAAATAATTCTTCCCCTAATTTCAATCTGTATTTTTCATAAGTAGTTCTTTTCACAGACTCTGGATTGTCATTGTCTTTCCAATGTCCTTACCATTTCATTTCATTGAGCAATTTTTATACTTGTTATTTTTATAATTTAATTTATTTTTCTAATTTAGTTATACTTGTCATACATTTCACACTTATATATGGGTGAATTAAAATGTAATAGTGAACAGAAATTATTTAGTAGTGAAGCTGCGGAAAAACAGGTAGCAATAAAATAAATGCAATCGAAAAAAACGATAAATAATATTTGGTATGAATTAAAAGTCAGGCAGGAGAATTTCCTTTCATTTTTCTCGGTGCATAAATACATACATTTATTTGTTTGAAAACGAAGCCTCTCCCATCTCGAGCGTTAAGTAGTTGGTGTTGACTTTCTATCAGTTTGTGGACTACAGTTCTGCTAAAAGATTTAACGATCCGGATAATATTAATATTAAAATTAACTTTTTCAGCAGTTACTTTTTGCATCCTCAACCACCTTAGTTAGAGAGCCTATGGTAATCGTTGGAATGGAAGTTTTCAAGATTTAATTTAATCAAATCAGTATGGCTAAGTAAGTCCAGATATAATTTTAATTTTCTTTCATCTTCCAAGGAATAATTCTTTTCCGAAAATGTAATGAGGAAATTCATTCTGAAATTCAGAACAACACAAAGTGTTAAGAAAGAAAGTATTAGGATTGAGATTTCCCTACCAATTGAAATGACGAACATTTCCCTCGCTGTTAATAGGCAGGTCCGATTTTTCTTGGCATTTCACTACCAAAATACTATTCATTTCACAAAGTGAAATCGAGTTAATCATGAAAGTTAGCATTGAATGGATTTGTGAGATTTTAAAAATTCTTGTATGATGAATTCTCGCTTACCAATGGGGGATCCAGGATTTACTTTTTTGGGGGGGGGGATGAGGCTTCAGCCCGAAAGATTTTTTTTTCATATACATGTAACAATGATTAATTAGAAAAAAAAATAAAAGAAATTAACTACCTATATGAATTGTGTTTAAGTGGTTCTTGAAGTCCTATTAAATGTAATTAGAACTATTTGGACTTACGGAGTTGAGCTATGGGGCTCCACTAAACCATCGAATTCCTCTCGCATCCAATCCTTACAATCCAAAATCCTTCGTAAAATCCTCAATGCTCCTTACTTTGTCAC